GTCCCTGACCCGCGGCTTGCAGAGGGGGCCGGAACCGGGGCCGTGTGTCCCTGACCCGCGGCTTGCAGAGGGGGCCGGAGCCGGGGCCATGCACCCCCCTCACAGCTTCCTAGGGTTGTGCACTCCCCTCCCCCATGCCTCCGGTGTGCCCCCCCATGTGTCCTGATATTTTACTCTTGAGATCTGGTCACCCTACAGGTCAGTGACTGGCGGTGGCCTGCCAACAAGGGGTGGTGGTGGGCTGGGGAGCCCCCTTGGGAGTGGGACCTGCTGCTCCCTTTAAGAAGGTGCAGAAAATGCTCCTACCGTTGCACACTGGCCTCGCAGCTGGGCCCCAGCCACACCCCATGAGGGACATCCGGCATTCCCAGTGGTGCTAGTCCCCGCCACGACTGTCATGCAGGATTCATGCTGCCCCCTGTGCCCTCTCCCCCGCCCAAGGAAAGCTAGAATATGGCCCTATATGGCCCATTCCTGCCTGGGAGTGCAAGGGGCTCCGGCTTCCCACCCAGACTAATAACTGGTTAGAACTGGGTCCAGGAAGGGCAAAGTCCAGGAATGAGCCGAGGGTCAGAAGCCAAATGCCAGAGCCAAAGGCGTGGTAAGCCATGGGCAGAGCTGGGGATCGAAGCCAGAAATTTGAAGCTGGAAGGGAGCAGGGACTGGAACAAGGGCAAGTGATGCTGCAGGCAAGGTATCCGGTAAGCAGCCGCTGATCTGCAGTGGGGGCCGGGCTTAGAACCGTCAGGGGCTGTGACCTCTCTCTCAGTTCCAAGGTAGTGCAGATAGGCTCACTGATTGCTTTGCAGCGAAGTTAGTCAGGTACTAGGCCAGCGGCTGGTCCTAGCTGGTCTGATACCTGACAGCACCCCGCTTCTTTTAGGGTTGCCTCCCTGGAGCCCTTGGGCTGGGTTTCTTGGGGAGCCTGCAGGAGGTCCAGGGCATGGACATGTTCCAGGGATTCCCACAAATGCTCTTCTGGGCCGCATCCCTCCCCATCACGCAGCTATTGGAGTCGTCCCCGGACTTGGCGGGAGTCCCGAATCCGCTGGCCCATGCGTTCCTCTTGGCCCAGCCCAGTTATTGGCAGAGGGGGAGGAGTAGCATGGGGTGGGAAGGGATTCTCGGTGAAAGGTTTCAGGAAGGAGATGTGGAACAAGGGGTGGACCTTGAGGGATTCTGGCAGCTGCAATCAAAAGGTTACCGGGTCAAGTTTTTCTGTGATCACAAATGGCCCTAAGGACTTGTGGTCCAGCTTCACAGATGGATGGGTGGATCTCAGATCCTGAGCACCTGGGGTTGTTATGAGTCTCATGCCCAATGTGCAAGAACAGAGGGAGTTAACCCAGGCGACCTGGGCCAGAAGGGGCCGAGAGCAGAACGCCCAAGCGATTGCTGGTAACCGTGCACCAGGGCAGCCTGAAGTCAGAGAGGGGCAGAAATGTTTCATTACAACAATTCTCCTATTGAAAATGCTGATGCTGTTGAAAACGTGTCCCTTCTGATAAAATATCATTTGGAACCCCCTCCCGCAATGAAGCGTTTTGCTAGCGTCAGCCATTCAGCCATTTTCTGAATGGAATGTTTGGGGGGTTTTTGGTTTGATTTTTCATTTCGAAACAAACCACAGATTTAAGCTGACGAAGGTCGAAGGCGGCGGGAAACATTCCCGTTTTCTCAGAGCAAAACATTTAGATCGGCTCCAAACACAACTTTTGTTTCATGGGAACTTTCTAATTTTTATGTTTTCAGAACAGGGAAAAAAATGTTCAAAATCACAGGATTTCCTGCGCAGTGAGAAATTGGGTCTGGCCTGGCTCTGCAGGGGAGAGGGGCAGGGAGCGGAGCTGGAGGTTTTACAGCTGGGAGTGTTTCATAATTGCCCACGGTGCCACCTCTGCTCCACGGGCGTCAATGCTTGACCTTTTTCCTCCTGTCGCTCCAGCGCCAGTGTGTCCAGTACGCGCTGAAAGCCCGCCCTCTGAGACGCTACATCCCCAAGAACCCCTATCAGTACCAGATCTGGTATGTGGTGACCTCCTACTACTTCGAGTACCTCATGTTCTTCCTGATCATGCTGAACACCATCTGCCTGGGCATGCAGGTGAGGAGGGAGCAAAGTTAACGACCTCGCTGTTGGGTGGCAACCTTTGATCACTGTCCATGGGGCCTGGGGGTGGGGTGTCCGAGACCACCCTGCTCTTGGTAGCAGACTAGCAAGCCATCAAAGTGAGACTCAGGCTGGGCCACTGGTTGGGTGCCCCTGGATATCTGGGTTTGGATCTTGGCTTGGGATACTTCAGGCAGTTCAGCATCACTGCTCCAGGGAGGCCCCTCCTATGGAAAAGCCGCGGGTGCTATAGGTGAGGAGGGAGGGACGGTGGCACAGCTGTATGTGTGTGCGGAGATGCCCCGGCTGCGGATCAGGAGTCAGGAACATCTACAGAGCTGTGGGGCAGGACCCAGGGCTGGAACAGGGAGGGGGTTAGGGGGCAGGACTATTGGCAGAGCTGTGTGTGGAATGGGGGAAAGCATCACAACTTCTGCTCACATTCCAACCCCACCAGAGCTCTAGGTTTGTATGTTGGTCTCAGGCTCTCACATCTGGCCCAGAATCTGAGAGCCCAGCCCCATACGTGCTCCCCATAGCCCAGTGGGCTAACCTGTGCCTCTTCCTGGCTCCCCAGCACTACAACCAGTCAGCTGAGATGAACCACCTCTCGGACAACTTGAACGTGGCCTTCACCATCCTCTTCACCCTGGAGATGTTCCTCAAGCTCATGGCCTTCAAAGCCAAGGTGAGTGTGGGGTGAAAGTCTGGGGGGCATGGAGAGGGGTGCTGGGGGGGTGCATAACGTGACCAGGATGTGGGCAGCCGTGCCCAGTGGTTGGAGCAGGAGTCAGAGCCCAGGGTCAGAACTGAGTTACCTGAGCTGAGACAAGGCAGAAGCTGTCCCAGCCATGGACAAATGCTTTGAGTAGCCACTGGACTGCTGCTACTGCCGCTGCTGGGCTTAAGAGCCTGTCCGCTGGCTCTCCCCACCCCTCAAGCGCGGTATCCATAGGCAGCCTGCTGCAGGCCAGCTATGCTCGTTGGGTTGCCTGGAGACTGGCTCCGCTGCAGACCCCGATTCCTGACTGGCGGGTGCGAGTCCGGAGGGGGGCCCAGGGGGTGTGAATCTGGAGGAGGGCAGGGGCTCACCCCAAGCGGTAGGCATGGCATTTTCTCCCCATGCGGCGTCCCGGGAACACAATCCCCTCGGAGCCTGGGGCCCTGGAGAGACCTGCTCACGCCCAGTCACTCATGTGGACAGTGCCACTGAAGTCACCTGGGCAAGGGCTGCAGGCTGACCTGGCAGCTCCTGAGGGGAAGAGCAGGGCCAATCCAGGCCACAAGGGGGAGCCCTTCCTCCAGCTACCTGTTCGCCCAACACCCCCACCCCGACTCCGCTGCTCTCACTGTCCTGGGTGTCTCTCCAATGGGGGTGGGGGCTAGTGGTCCTCCCTGGAGCTCTCCGGACCCCCCATTAAACCAGGCTTGCGTGTGAGTGGCCCTGGGAGAGCCCCTGAACCTCCCCCCACCACAGCCACTGAGCCACGTGAGAGGCGAGGCAGAGCCCCCCGCCCCGCCCTGCAGGCATGTCCCCGATGCCCACTGAGAGACGGCCATCACCTCCGTGGTCCCCGTCGATGTGCCCGGAGGGGAATCCCTCCCCTGCCCGACCTCACGAGCGATTCAGCCATGTGAGCCGCTGCTCCATGGGCTGCCTTGGCATCCAATGGTCGCTTTTCCCTGAACCCCACCAATGCCAGCCCTCGGGGGTAGAGAACCCCAAATGTGGATGGTCCTCTGGGAACCAAGCCCCCACCAGGTCATCCCTCTGAGCGTAAGGGATAATCACAGGTTGTCTTGCTGCCACTTGGTTCAAACAGATCCATGTCCACCGGGCACTTACCTAGTACAAGAACAGCCTCCTCCAGCCTCCCCCTGCCTTCTCTATACGCCTGTAGCCCCAGGCAGCCAGCGTGGGGCATGCCGCAAGAGCCGCTGCTTGCGACCCATACACAGTGATGTGGGCCGGGGCAGGTGCACTGCAGGGAATGTTTCCCAGTGCAGCTCCTTGGCCACACACCTCCCCTGTACTTGCGAGCCGTGTCTTCCCCGCCATCCCAGCCCTGACTTGAGCTCCCTTGATGGACAATCACACTGTTGCTGGGCCTGTTGGGGGCTAGGAGCGTTCATTCCCTGGCGTGCCGAGGACTCGCCCAGAATAAGCATCGGCACCAATCAGCTGGGAAGGTCTGACCCCAAGAGCTCAGTGGGTGCTGGGTGCCAGCGGATAAGAGTAGACATGGAAGGAAATCTAAATCCAAGCTCTGCAGTGCTCTCTCCATCTCGAGGCATGGGGGGCAGCCTGGCCATGCTGGCTGTGTTCTGCGTGGGCGAACGGAGACCCTCCCTCTGGCACGGTGAGCGGGGCAGCGGTTTGCAAGGGAGAAAGCGCACTGCGCTCAGGAACGGCAGGTCTCCTCCGCAGGGAGTTTATAACCCCCCTGTCTGACCCTCAGCTTCTTCCTTTCCTTTCCCCCTGTTCGGCCCCCCCAGTCATTCCCACCTCATTACTCTCTCCAATCTCAGGGCTATTTCAGCGACCCCTGGAACGTCTTTGATTTCCTCATCGTCATCGGTAGCATCATCGACGTCATCCTGAGTGAGATCGATGTAAGTGCCGCGGTGGGCGGAGGGAACGTATCCGAGAGCACAGGCAGGACAGTGATGTCATGGCAGTGACAGCCTTGGCAGGCTGCCAGTGTCCCACTGTCACATGGGAGGCCCGGGTTCCTGCAGGATTGCGCGGGACACTCGTCCGGCTGGCGGACCAACCTGGACCGGGCAGAAGGAGAATGGGGCAGGGGCTTGGGCACACGGGTTAACCCTTCTCCTCGCTGTTTAAGAGCGCTGATTGGATCTCTCCTCAGCCATTACACAGCCATGGTGGACCCCCCCAGCCTCAGTGACCCTCACCCCACCCCTCCTCCTGAATCTGCCTGGAGAGGTACCCTGTGGAAACTGTCCTTGTCCTGGGACAGAACCAGAACCTCAAGCTGACTCCGCAGTGACATATGCCAGTACTCCCCAGAGGCTGCACCCATGCCGTGCCCTGCCCGTGTTCTTTAAACACATGCCCAGATGGCTAGTAATCAGCTCATTGGCCTGAGATCACCATAGAGATGGCTGAAAGGGTTTCCCTTGCCTCATGGTCCCTATAAGAAGTTTCTGCCCTGCGCTCCGTGAGGGTCTGGCACCGTTTCAATCTGCTGCGTGTGCTTGGAGTGTGTCAGTGTGTATGACGATTGCCACATATACCCGGTGCCTACTCTGTATATGTGTGCCTGTATATCCAATATACACCGGAGTATATTCGGTATATACCGTCTACATGATACCACACGTGTACGCTGCAGTGTGTATGTACCGAGCAGCCTGCATACAGGAGCATTGTCGAAGAGGCGTGCACGGCGCATTGCTGGGAGCTGTGTACCTCGTTGTTAGCACGTGGCACGGAAACTGGCTCCATACACACATCGGGTGTGCGGTGCGTACAATCAACCCAGCTGTAGTCGGAGAAGTAGCTTCCGAAGTGAGCACTCCAGTGGGGTTAGCACGTCCTCGCTAATAAAAAAGTCCATCCAGTTGTCACTGCAGAGTGTCCCCGCTCTCTGTGCTGTCCCAGAGTAGCACTGAGCCGTTTCCCCGCATCTGAGAGCGAACCATCGGCAAGGAGATCTGGCCCAGAGGAGATGAAATGTCATCCTCTCCTGTTCTCGGGCACAGCTTCCCAGCCCCAATGCACACCAGTCCTGCATGGTGGATTGCCATCCCTACAGCCCAGAGGAGCCCTCTGGCTGGCTCCGTTCTCCTGGGGCAACTGCACTGGCTGAGCGAGCTGCCGAACTCCAGAGAGCAGGACTCCTCAGAGCCGCCCCCGCACCAGGTATTGGGTCATTGGCTCCATTCCCATGTCACCACCAGCTAACAGCAACCAAAAGCCCTCCTAAGCAGGACTGCCACCCCAGCTTTAGTGACCGGCACTGTGTCAGCCCCTCCGCTTTTTCACCATTCCCAGCCAGCTTGAAGGACAAACCCCTTAGGGAGCTTGCAGAGGTCCCCAAATTGCCTGCTCATTTGGGCAGTTGCCAGCTGCTGTCAGGAGTTCCAGGCAGAGCAGCAGCTACCAGGCCCTTTCCCCAAGCGCCGAGCTGCCATCGAGCGGCTCTGTGCCCACGGAGTGCTCTCTGTCTGCCCGGGGGGCCTTGAAACACGTTCTGGGCTGCTGTGTCCTTCCCAGCAGTTATCAGACACGAGGGCACCTGGGCTCCAGATCCCATTGTTGCTTGGGAAGGGATCCACTGGAGCTCTGGCTTCCCACTGGAAAGAGCTTGTCATTCAGTGGGTATCGAGAAAAACGAATGGGTTGGGCACGCTGCCCAAGTCACCCCACATCCCCTCCTCCAACAAGAGACCTCGGAGCTGGTTTTTTGGTCTCGTTCCAGAGGGTTCACTCGTCCATCCCGCGATCCCCCCACCCCTCATTTCCCCCTTGACATCGCTCCCAGGCACGCACCTTGACAGCCCCCCTCATGGCCACTGTCAAAGCTCCAGGGGTAAGGGGAGATCCTGTCTGGCCACCAGGAGCTAAGGGACCCAGAGTTCTAGGGACCATGCTGGAGGTTTTGGTTAGGGGGAACTAGGCTTAGTGAAGCTGGGCATGTAGCTGGAGAGCATCAACCCCACCCGGTAAGTACTCCTCTCTGCCCGCCGTTGGCAGCTGGGGTTTCTGGGTCATTGCAAGTGGTCATTGCCCATCAGGGTATGTGTTTGCACCTGTCTCACCTGGAGTCTGTAGCCTTGTCTGCTCTGGAGACTGAGCGATTGCTTAGGGCCCCGAGCAGCTGATGGGGGCTCCCTACTGGCTTTTTCAGTATGTGCTGTGTGGGGGCCCCTCAAAATGTTCCTGCTTAGCCCAATGGGCTAGCACTGCCTCTGGCTCTGGAATGCTGCTTCCTGCCCAAGCGCACAGACCCCGAGAGCACCGTGGTTTAGGGAGACAGCACTCTCACGAAACTCTGCCAACTGGGTCTCAGCGGCGCCACTGGGACGGGTTCACCAGTAACAAAGCCGTCTCTGGCAGTTGTTTTCTCCCAGAAAAATGTTAACGCTGGTTTGCTATGTCTATCCTCTCTTGCTTTCTCTCTGCTTCCTTTCCCTCTCCTGTTTCTGTGTACGGCTGTTCACTGACTCGTGCAAGATGGGGAGGAGAAGGCCTTGCTATTTGAAGCCCTTTCCTGAGTCACTCAGGTCCCGATCCAGCAGAACATTTAAGCACATGCAAGCGGTCCCAATGGGACTTAAAGTTAAGCACCATTGCTGGATCATGCCCTGTGACCGTGATCCAAAGCCCACTAAGTCAATACACTCGTTGACATCACTGCACGGTGGGTAAGGCCTTACGAGTGAAATTCACTCCTGCACACAGGGCCAGCACGAGGGCTAGACACCACTTAGGCCTGGTGTGACGCTGTAAGTGGTGCTTGTAGTTGTATTCTGGGCATAGGGGAGAATTGCTTTCTATCCGCGGACCATTTTTGCGGATCAAATGTGGATACAAATTTTGTATCCGCGCAGGGCTCTAGGAATAGCTACTCTCTAGGAATTAACAAATTCAGCACACTTAGGTGAGAGGGTTTTGTGTGTGGACGCGAGCCGGGGTCGGGGCAACACCCGAGAAAGAGCCTGCATTAACTTGATAATGAAGATGAACCCGAAGTGACAGGAGCTGAAGTCTCATTTTCAAAAGTGGCTCAGACACCTAGGAGCGTAAGACCTGCTCTGCACTTGAAAATGTAACTGTTGTGTATGTTGGCTACAGGCATGAATTTTTGACCAATATGTAGCTATAACAATGCCAATATAAAGCTGCTATGTACTTGTATTCCCGTTCCCATATGGGAATAGCTATCCCTGTATAAAGCACCTTCTACACCAGTATAATTGCGTCCACACCAAGGCAGGTTGTATTGCTCTAACTACCCCGGAACAGTTCAAGCAGAACAACTTTCTAGTGTAGACAAGGCCTATGTCTCATTGAACGTCACTGGGGGCTTAGTCCTTTAAGTTGCTCTGGTACTTTTGCAGATGTTTCCCCTAGTGCCTATCTTTAGGTTCCCAAGTCAGAACATTTCTCTTCCAGTCTTACCCGGCTTGATATTTCCTTCAAACTGCCCTAGGGGTTGGGCCTGGATTCAGATCTGCCTTGTTCTGTGTGTTAGTTTTTGGGCCATCCTACCCTGTCTTCTTTCTGTCTCTCTCTCTCTCTCTCTCTCTGTTTCCCGTCTTTCCCTTCCCTCCAAGGATCTGTGTCTCTGTCTGGCTCTCTCTGGAACCCAGCCGCCTGTTTCTCTTTCTCTCTCTGTCTCTCTTTTGTTTCCTGCCTCTCTGACAGTTTCTCTTGCTGACTCTCTTGTTCTCTCGACAGACGTTTCTTGCTTCCAGTGGCGGACTGTACTGCCTAAGCGGAGGCTGTAATGGCATTGTAAATATCAGCTGCATGTGCTTGCAGTGGGTCTCCTTATTTTTCTTCCGCTAGTTGTTTCTCTGCTGCACTCGGCTGCTGTGTTTGCGTGGATTGCATGGTGTGAATCCAGGGAGCTGCTCTGCAATGCACAGGATGACTTTCCCATAGCGGAGCGGGGGTAGGAGCTAAAGACACCAATGGTCTGGGAGCGATACACAGCCAACCTCTAGGAGATCTTCTTACCTCACATTGAAATGTGATCTCCATCCATCTATCTATCCATCCACCCCTCCCTATCCCACCCCGACCCATCCATCCATATTACACTTTTCTTTTATCCATCCATCCTTCGTCCATGAAATACAGCAAAACTCAACCAGAGACAGAACCATCTAACTAAGGTTGCATCCGGCTGTTGTACAGACAGGACAGTCGCTCTACCTGCTCATTGTATCATCTAACGCAACGTTAGTTTGTAGAAGGTCTCTCCCCCCAGCTGTATGCGCACAGCTTCTTACAATGTGATTTGGTGCAATTGCAGGGATACGTTTCTCGAACCTTCCTTTCTCTGCGGAAGGTTAGTTTCCCTTCTGGCCTGACATTGCCCTGGGCTCTGGGTTCCCTCAGTCCCTGTTCGGCTGTGTATGGTACAGAGCCTGTGCTGGTGTCGGTGGTAATTGATCCCCTGGTGATGGACAAAAGTCAGGAGTCCCAGAAGCAATGTTCCCTCTAATTTTTCCCACCCATGTGCGGAATGAAGTTTGTTATGTGCATCAATATGGAGGTGACGTGTGACACATCACCTCCATATTGGTGAACATCAAATTCATGTGGTGGGGGTGGGGTTGAGGAGTTCGGAGTGTGGAAGGGGGCAGAGGGTTGGGGTGCAGGGGTGTGCGGGCTCCAGCTGGGAGTGCGGGCTCTGGGGTGGGGCTGGGGATGAGGGGCTTAGGGCTGGGGCAGAGGGTTGAGTGTAGGGGATGAAGGTTCGGGCTGTGGGTGTAGCCTGATTTGGGGTGTGTTAGTAGTGTTAATTTAATGTATCCACTTAATTTAATTTTATTTAAATACATTTTTAATTAATTAATAATTTTAATAATTATTATTGTGGATATTAATTAGTATGGGTTTTGGCTCGCCAATTGGTTTGATCAGAAGATAAAGTTCGTCCTGAATCAGGCTTCACAGAGTTTATAAAAGGAACTTTGGGGATATGACAGGAAGTTTACACTGAGACAGATATAGTCATAAAGACCTTTTTATTAAAATCAATGACGATAGTAAGCAAATGGTAAAACAGTTAGAATTACAGAGTTACAAATATCACAGTTCTTTAAGATATAGATATAGATATATGGATATAAGATTATAAGCTGCAAAGTTGATTTAATACTCACACCCTGTTTTGATAACCCGGTGTTGGGAGATGTGATACCACGCCTATGGCAATTTCCGTTTTCACACCTCTGGCAGAGGAAGCTAATGCAGAGCTGTTTACTCTCTTTTAATTTAACTCTAAGCTGTACTAAAATAAAATATAAGGGAGATCAAATCCCTATTTAACTTACAATTTGAAAAGAAATAGAAATACAGCCTATTAATAGTTAATAGCCGTGGTAGATGGGTAGCATCGATACGTAGTTGAGGCAATGAAGAGTAGACAGGAGCAGATAGGTGGGTAGATTGCCTGTCTAATGGTGAGCTGCTTCTCCTTTTTATAGGGCATTAGTCGGAAATCCTTCCTCTTATGCCCAAATTTCATTCTTCCCCCACGGAAATGTTAGGGTACACTTACCCCATAGGCTAGTATGTATGTGCGTATGGATGACAGGTATGTACGCATTTGTGGTGTATCTGTTAGAATTGTGGGCAAAACCCCCTTTTTCTACCCTTTATTGCTATTGGTTCAGGTAAAGGTCTCTAGACATCTGCGTGGGTGTTTTGTCTAATTTTACTTTTCTGTGCTCCTAAGTCACGTGGGCCCTTTAACACCTCCCCCCCGCCCCCACAGTGAAGCTCTACATAGCCGCTTTCCTAGCCGCCTCAGACACTCTCCCCGTGCTCCACCCCAACAGCCGAGATCAGCTGAGACAGTCCCTGGCAGGCCCCAGCTTTGAATGTCGGAGGGACAAGAGTCTGGGGATCCTTAGTGCTGGGCAGGGGCCCTGACTGCAGTTTCCCTCCCCTCTTTGGTACAATGGGGCCCAGGGCTATTAGGCATTTGCCCAGGTGCTGGCTAGTTTTCTTTGGGCTTGGGGCAGTGCCGAGTTCTTTGGAGCTGGCGGTGCGTCACTGAGTCAGGTGTTTCGAGCGGCTGCACACACCCCTAGGGGAGATGGCAGGCAGTGTTTATGAATTGAGACAGAAAGAAAAGGGGAAAGAGAAGGCGAGAGAGAGAAAGGAAGGGAGGAGCAGGCAAGCGAGAAGCACGTTTTCCAGCTGAGATGTGACGTGCGATCAAAGCTCAGTGAAGCGGAATAGCACAGGGAGGCAATTTCCGACAGCCGGCGATGCAGAGGAGAAGGCTCTCGCGCCAGCAGTCATGAAGGAAGTCGGCGGTGGACAGATGGAGGGGAACAGAGAGAAACAAACTCCACCAGTTTGGCTGGAACAAGTGGGGGTGTTTTAAAGCAGAAGGCGGTACCCAGAGACCTGGAAGAGCTTTTGCTGCTGGTGCTGATACTGCTCTGGGTGGACAGCAGCACCCTGGAATGTGAGGAGAGGCCAGAGATGGAGGCTGGGATGCGATTTGGGGCCGAGATAGAGCTGGGGCAGGGATTGCAACAGGCTGATTTTTCAGACCAGGAGCCCTTTGGAGAGCAGAATTCGGGACACTTCACTAAACCCCTTGGGATAAACCCAATCTGTCCTTTGCATAGCTCCCCCCATACGAGCCAGCCCCTGGGCTATCAAGAGGGGCAGCTGTGGTTTCAGTGTGGCAACCTGGAGCGGCTGGAGATGACCTGCTGTTTTTGCTGGACCGCTGCCTCTGGCACTGGCACCACTGTGGTGTTAAAGCCTGGTGACCAAATGTCACTATCCCCATTGGGCAGCTGGGGAAACTGAGGCACAGAGCGGGTCAGTGATTTGCCCAAGGTCACCCAACAAGTTGCTGGTGGAGTCGGGATTAGAACCCAGGACTCGTGGCTCCCCACATCGAGCATTAGGCCACAGCTGCCTTGTGGGGAGTGGGATCTTGTACTATGATCATCTGATCTCATGCCCATGGCCTGTGCCTGGCACACCCCCTCTGTCCATACAGGCAGGTCAGGTCTCTGCTCCCCCCTCTGCCCCACACCGCCCAGTGAATCAGTGTGCCAGCCACAGCAGCTCCTGGCTCCTCCCCAGCGAACGCTACCGAACAAGACGGTGCAATGAGACAAGACAAAGCTGACGTGGGGGGAGAGGGGGGCTTTTCCCCACAAGCTGTGATCCTGGCTGATCAGCACTATGGAGTGTTTGCTCAGCTTGTTCCAAAAGTTATTGGGAGCCTTTGATCCGACGCAGACACCTGGGGCTCCTGGTGGGGAAGGCAGCATGTGAGCTACAGGGAAGATGGGGTTAGGGCTCTAGCTAAGGAGACGGAAGGTCCAGGTTCAATTCCCTGCCCCAGGCTCCCTGGGGAAGTCACGCTGGGCCTCAGATCCCCGTCAGAACCTAGCCCTGCCTTACCGCCCGGCGGGTGCGAAGACTGGGATCTGTGAATTGTTTCGAGATCTGCTGACGCGAAGAGCTAGGAGGTGTTATTACTGCAGGTCCCATGCCCAGGGATGCACCCGCCGAGCAGCGTTTGGCTACTTGAGCGGGTGTCGTGCTGTCAGTTGTGTGTCTGTGGCCCCTGTTGCGGAGCCGAGAGTTCCCACTCTTGCCAAGAGCTTTTCTCTCCTGATAGCCTCCTTTGCTGCACCTCCCCCTTGGGAGGGCTCTGATCCCCACTTCCCTTCAGACAGGGAGGGACTCGCGGGGACTTGGGGCAGCAATATCATCTTTCGAAGGTCTCCCCCACCCTAACCTACCCTATTCCTTCCTTCCCTTCCTCCCACCCCACCCTGGTCGGCCCCGCTCTATGACCCCAAACCAAACATGCCCAGCCAGCTCAAACCCTTTGCCCCCTGCCGTAGACCTGCTGCAGCTAGGGGGCTCTCGGGCCCAGTGTGGTAGCAACCAGAGCCCCAGGTGAAGCAGGAGGGACCGGATTCCATCATGTAACCCTTGCCGGTGGAGCTGAGCATGGGGGAGGGAGGCTCTCTTCTGGATCATCCTCGCTGGCATGTACTGACTTGGTAGCACTCCTCCACCCTCACTACAGCATGCAGCTCCCCTGAGCCGGCCCAGCGAATGGGCTTACTCTAACACACATAACACCCAACTGCAGGAGAGCCCTGAGCCGGGCTGCAGATCCGAGAGATCCCTGGGCTGTAGTGGTGAACAGTGGGGGAAATGCCACCAGTTCCGCACAGCAGTGGCTCCTCCCTGTGGCCGAGCAGCCTCGAAGAGCTCAGCAGGTCTCCTGGGCCTGCTCCCTCCTTCCCCTCCCTGGGGCTTCTGTTCCCACTGAGCAGCTAAGGGGCATGCTTTGCCTGCAGGATTCTGCAGACAATACCCGCGTCTCCATCACCTTCTTCCGACTTTTCCGAGTGATGAGGTTGGTGAAGCTGTTGAGCCGGGGGGAAGGAGTCAGGACCCTGCTCTGGACCTTCATCAAGTCCTTCCAGGTGCGTATGGACCAATCCCCAGTGTGGCTGGGCAACTGGCTTTGAAGATGGGACCTTCAGCCCCAAAGCACAGGCCTCTACTGCTCAAGAGCTCCATTAGCCGGTAGCAGCAGCAGGCTGTTAACCTCGATATGGACTGGTCACTAGCTGGCACGCACTTGACGTGTATGTTACCCAAGCATCTAGGAGTTCAGGAGGAGCCAAGAAGGGCTTCCCAGATGCTCATTCATACTGGTGTCAGCAGGTCTCAGAGCCTCAGTTGGCCCCATATTCCCCAGACCAGATCAGTAAGATCGCCAGCTCCCTTGGACAGGACCTTCCAGGACTAGAGGGGCGCTGAGGGTGCTCTCCAGCACCTCAATCGTAGCACCTGTTTGTGCTGAGATTGTGCATGTCCCTTTCTCCCTGCGCCCCCCCCAGTGCTTGTCCTAGCTGCAGGGGCAGGGAGCTCCCTGTGCAGGCTGTGGAGTGAGTGACAGCAGCAGGAATGCTGGAGAACGGGTGTTTTTAGTGGCAGCTTCCAGCCCCAGCCAGCAGCAGACAGCCTCACTCTCCGGCCAGCTGCCCCGCTGGACCCCTGGCTGGCACCAGGGCTTGGTAGCTCCAGCCCGGAGAACTCCTACTCCTAAAACAGGCGGGATCCACAGTGGGGATAGGCTGCTCCCTCTCAGCTCCACTCCCACATGAGCCCTGGACCCTTTGTCTCACAGGCCCTGCCCTACGTGGCATTGCTGATCGTGATGCTGTTCTTCATCTACGCTGTGATCGGGATGCAGGTAAGGAGGTGGGGACAGCGCTGGGGCCCCGGCTGGCAGGGCGTGGGAGAGCCAGGATCCAGGGAGCAGGGGTCACCCCTCGGGCACTCCTGCCGCACAACAGATACAACCCCACTGTCTTTCCACCAGGGGGGTTTCAGAGTGCTCTGCAGTCACTAGTGAATCAAGCCCCAGCAGCCTCCCTGCCAGGGGGAGGCCACTGTTATTATCCCCATTCCGCTGATGGGGAAACTGAGGCACAGAGCTGTCAAACTCCTCCGGCTTCACACAGCAAGTCAGTTGCAGAGCTGGGAACACACCTTGGGCCCCTGACTCCCAGCGCTGTGCCCAGTCCACAAGGTCATCCTGCCAGGCCAGCCCTTTCCCTGTGGTGCCAGGCTATTGGCTGGAAAGGAGCCAGCGGGAGCAGTGGTGAGGCCAGGAGCGGGAGCACGTGGGGTGGAGGGTAGCGATGAATGCCTATGGCAGGGCGTTCCTCTGCAGGGTAGCTGGGACCTGAGCATGTCATTCACAGATGTTTGGGAAAATCGCCCTGGTGGATGGAACCCAAATCAACCGGAACAACAACTTCCAGACCTTCCCACAAGCCATCCTGCTGCTCTTCAGGTCTGTGTAGGCCCCACCCCTTCCTCATCCCACCTCATCCCTTCCCATTCCATCCCCTGGGGGTGCCCTGTACAGCCAGCCTGGGGGCATTTGTAATGCAGAGCCACTGCTGGGGGAAGCCAGCCTGACTTCCTCGAGGAGCGAAGACCCCAGGCTAGTCCCTCACTCCCGCGGGTCATTAAAGGGCCCCTCATATGTGCCATGAGGTTGCACTGGATCACAATGCACCAGTCCATGGTGGTGCAACACAAGGGCTTGGGTCTCCCTACACGGAAGCAACAATGAGGTGTAACCATCCTGGCACTGTCATCCTGGCCATCCCCAGGAGCTGGACCCAGTACCTCCAGAGCTGAACATGGAGCTTGTGCTGCGGGGCTACGATCCAGAGCCTCAAAGATATTTTGGCATCACACGCGGCCCCTGAAATCGGTGGCATCGAAATACCTTTGAGGATCTGGGCGTAAGTCCCGCAGCTGGCACGGGGTCGTCCTAGCCGCTGGGGACCTGGCACAGAGGGGAAAGTATGGCTCGCTGACCAGCCGGTTACGGTTGCAACAGGTTCCAGGGAAAATACAGGCCACAACCTGACCCCACAGTGTGTGTGCCTTGGGGCCCACACTGGGCTCCCCAGAACTCGCCCAAAGAAGACGCATGAGCCCTGTTGGGGATGCCCACAGAGCCCCAGCCCATCAGTGGTGCCTGACTCACAAGTCAGAGGTCAGCTGGGCTTGGTGCTGAACGCAAGGCCAAGCTGGAGCAGAGCGGGTCGGAAAGTTTTAGTTTTTCACCACCCAAAGACGCTGTTGGGCTGAAATTGCAAAGTTTCTTGGGAACGTGTTGATTTCAACACCAGTTCTCATGGCAACGTTTCCAAATTATTTGAATCAAAACTTTAAAAATGTTTAATTCCTCGTCAGCTTAGGTTAGGTTTGTTTCCACGTTGTGGAAATGAAGTGGTGTGTTCTCCATGCAGTAGTTCTACTAGACAGGCTGTGAAATGCTCTCCAGCTTGGATTGGCTGCTCATCGTGTATCGATGTAAGGACCAAATTGTCCCTAACATTCGATGTTTCAGAAATGAAATACTTTTGACTGGAGCCCTGACTTCCACTCCTCTGTTCTAACCGCTAGACGTCACTCTTCTCCCAGATCCAGGGATTGAACCCAGGAGTCCTGACTCAGTCCCGTTTTACCTGCTGCATCGTACTCCCCTCCCCGAGCGGGGGCTAGGACCCGGGAGTCCGGACGCCTAGTCCCCTGCCCATCCACAGCTGGGACTAGCACCCAATAATATTGATTCTCGGCCCCTGCTGTAACCCCTAGCTCCTGCTCCCTTTCAGCTAATCTCATCCCATACTTCCTGGGCATGGCAGCCCTTCCCTGCAGAGCCTAGCTGGCATTCTCCCTTTCTCCCTAGGTGTGCGACAGGCGAGGCCTGGCAGGAGATCCTGCTGGCCTGCAGCTACGGGAAAAAGTGTGACCCCGAGTCTGACTGGACCCCAGGGGAGGAGTACACCTGTGGCACAGGCTTCGCCTACTTCTACTTCATCAGCTTCTACATGCTCTGCGCCTTCCTGGTACGGCTCCTGATTCCGGATCCCCTGGTGTTTAGCTCCCGGTCCCTTCATTGTCCTTAACAGGAGAAGGGTGAAAGTGGAGGCCATAGGATTGTGCCAGCCGGGGACCAACCAGAGAGCAAATGCCAAGGCTTTCTCCCATGAGCTCTCCCGTGGCACCCCAGGTCCGGGGCAGTCCAGAGCAGTCCAGCAGGGTCCAAAGGGTTCTGGGTGTTCTGCAATGTGCAGCTGCCACCCCGCTTCCTGCGAGGCTGAGGGTATAGCACGCTTCATTCGCCAGTGGCAGAAGGAAGGCTGGGAAGAAAAATACCAGTGCTGCTCCAGAACTCAGTCACCAGGAGGCACTGTCCTCCACCCTCCAGAGCCCACCCCCTGGCAAGCCACTGAGCTACCCACAGTCACGCTGGAGGGGTTGACATGAATGGGCTGCCATGTGGATTGAGGACAAATGTCAGCATCCGTGTTGCGGGGGCAAGGGGAGGATTCGCCTGTGGTTGTCACAGGTTTTACTGGCTGGGTATGAAATATTTCCAGGGAGCTAAGGTCTGTTCCCTGCCCAACGGTAGCTGCAGACTCTGCTGGCTTCAGGAAACCCTCTCTGCTTGGCCCTCACTCAGCCCCTGCATGAGGGGATCCATCCACTGACCCTTTTCACCCTCTTTTTTCAGCCTGGGATCCTGTGGGGCACATGGGTCCTGGGTTGGGTCTTGCTCTGGTGAGAGCGAGGCATGTAAAAACGACCCTCTAGTGTGTTCTCCATGCAGTAGTTCTACTAGACAGGCTGTGAAACGCTCTCCGGCTTGGATTGGCTGCCCATCGCGTATCGATGTAAGGACCAAATTCTCCCTAATCCACACAGCAGGCCTGGTCCCTGCACGATGGGTCCCCCAGGGAGAAGACAGAGAATGTCTGAACCAGGATATCAGGGCTGAGATCTAGCAGGCAGGTTGGAGAGGAGAATTTTGTACAAAGTGTGTAATTTGTCAGAAGAGACCAACCAGTAGCAGTTTAGAGCACAGGGAAGATAGCAGGGCAACAGGCCGTGCGCTGTCATTTTATATAAGTCCTTCACATTTGGAGACCTCATGTCCTGTCCTCTCTGGTGCATTGTGGGACAGACGCTCAGCTGACTTCAATGGGAGCTGCTTTGTGCCAGCTGAGGATCTGGCTCCGCATCTGGTCCCCTTCACGTACGCTCCTCTCTTGCCAGATTATCAACCTCTTTGTCGCTGTCATCATGGACAACTTTGACTACCTCACGCGGGACTGGTCCATCCTGGGTCCTCACCATCTGGACGAATTCAAAAGAATCTGGGCAGAATACGACCCGGAAGCCAAGTGAGTGAGCACTGGTCTGTGGCTGGCCTGGGTCTGAGTGGCAGCCAGGGAGGCCAGCGGATTATTTCCTTAAAAGGCTGAGAGAAGTTAGCACAGCTGGAAGGTGCTGGATTGGCAGCCTGTGGGACTGAAGTCCCCTATTTATCCACAGCTCAGCCATAGCACGGGTAGCGTCAATACCAAGGACTGTGGCAGATTCTCCAGTGCTGGCAACTTTTAAATCAAGCCTGTACGTTTTTCAAGATGTGCATTAGTTCAAAAGGAATTATTTGGGGCAAGTTCTCTGGCCAGTATTATACAGGAGCGTTGACCAGTTCTATCCCCCGCTACCCAGAACGCACAGGTTCACAGACAGGCCCTTGAGCTTGAAAAAGAATGTCATTTCTTCACTGCTTCAGTGAGTGATCAGGCCACCGAAACAGGGCCAAACAGGCGCACCCCCAGGTTCAGGTACTCGCCTTGAATACATTGTTACAAAGTTATTCATTATATACTGTATAAACACTTTCCTGCCTAGCCGAGATTAGCTGGCTAAGTCAGTTGTTTCCTGACGAGGTTGCTGACCAAGATGTTCACCTGATCGAACTGCTGACCCAGTTGTTAAGCTGATCAGGTTGCTGGCTCATCTTTTCGCCCAGCTGTTCTCCCTCCCTGCCAGACCATGTCCCAACACCAAAAATATACATGCTACATGTTACATATCCTACAAGGAGGTCAGACTGGATGAGCACAGTGGGCTCTTTTGGCTTATGGCTCTAAAGCCCTGCTGAGATGATCATCCGAGGTGCTAGTTATAACAGTGGCTTTCTGAGACCTGTTAAGAACTGGCCTGAGACACACCAACTCATTTAACGCAGGCCCCCAAACTGCCCCCAGCTGGATTCTAGACTTGGGAGCTTCCAGTCCCCAGTGACATAATATGTCAGCACTGTAGTGTCATTCTACAATGGCCTGCAATATGAAACCCCATCAGTTCCAAAATTATCTGTCTACCTACATACTTCTCTGCCCCCCATCTCTGTAGTGCCTGGGGGCCTTGCCTACATTAATGAATTTACCCTCGCGCCAGTCTGTGCAGCACAGAAGTGTCCATGTTGGAGATGGAGTGTAGCAGTTCGGGACTCACCCCTGCGGCGCCTCCTGCTGGTTGTCCTCGGGAATTAGCTCTGCCAGCCTTGGAGCGTCCTCTGCAGGCTGGTGATCCGCCTTGCCACTGGCCCCGTGTCCCTCCCAGGACCCCGGTGCCCCTTTCTCTGGGTGCTGCCCCCTGGCAGTACCCCACAGTTCTGGGTCTCCCCCTCCCAGGGGAACCCCCACCCACTATCCCCACTTCGCCTCAGTCTTAGCTACTGCCCAGTCTCCATCTAGCCCCCGTTCACTGGGGCAGACTGCAGTATCAGCCATTCATCACAGGCAAAGGGGTTCGGACCTGCTGCCTCTGCCTACCCACGGGCTGCCCCCTGCAACCCAGTACCTAATAGGCCTTACCAGGCCTGCAGCCTGGGGCTTTCCTAGGCCGGAGCCTCCCTGGCTCCCTTGGCCTTTCCCCAGCTCTGCTCCACTCCAGATACCTTGTTAACCTCCCTGCAGCCAGGCCCTTCTCTCTCTGAATGCAGAAAGAGACTCCTGAGCTCCTGGCTCCCAACCTCTAATACAGGCCAGCTGTGGCCTGATTGGGGTGTGGCTCAGCTACGGCCACTTCCCCAATCAGCCCGGCTTTTAGAGCTGCAGCCCTCTCCAGGGCTGCTTTTACCCCTGCAGCCCTCCTTCAGGGCTGATTTCAAGCCTTTCAGGGCAGGAGCGGGTGTCCACCCTGCTACATGGAGAAACTGAAGTACAGACAGACTTAAAGCCCAGATTTTTCAAGGTTTTTGGCATTGCTGCACTGAGTTTTGCAATGCCTAATTGATTTAGGAGCCTAAGGTTCATTTTCAAAAGAGATTTAGGCCGTGAAGAGCCAAAAATCCCATTGCCAGCATCTATATCCCTTTGGAAACGAGCCTTTGGCTCCTGAATCAGTTCGGTGTTGCATCACTCAGCGGAGCAACGTCTGATACCGTTAAAATCTGGGCCTAAGTGACTTCCCCAAGGTCACACAGGCAGTCAGTGGCTGAGCCACAGATCGGACCTTGAGCTCCTGCCCCCCAAGCCAATTAACTCCCCACCCCCAGCCAGGGTTTGCAATTCTACCACTGGAGCAGATGGGTAAAGCACAGCTGTCTCTTGACTCCTGCAGGGGAAGAATCAAACATCTGGATGTGGTGACCCTGCTGAGACGCATCCAGCCTCCCCTGGGCTTTGGGAAGTTCTGTCCGCACCGCGTGGCTTGCAAGGTAACAACCCCTTTGCAAAGGGAAAGGTTCCATGATTGACATGCTGGACGGCTCTATCCCAGTCCCGGCCCCCTCCCTCCAGCACAGCCTGCAGCCTCTGGGTTCCCCAGCTCCCACCAAAAGGGGCTGGGGAGAAATCCAGGGTTGGTTTTGTGTATCCTCATGATCTGATATCAAGTGTTTAATGGAGAAGGAGGCTTTTGGGGGGAGCGAGACAATTTAAACGGGCGGACACACTTCAGGTTTCCTGAATTATAATCCCCCATGGTACAGTCAGTCCAATACAAGGCAGAGGTCCCCGCCTCTGAGAAGACCCCGAAGCTCTTGGTCAGACACAAATCTCAGCTAGAGATGGGTCCAAGCTGCACGGCTCAGCTCTAGTGTCCCCATGTTCAGGTCTGGGGTTGGGGACCAGTCCCTTCTTCAGCTTCGGTGGGTCCCATTGTAGCTGCATGAAAGCTCTTATGGTGGGAGTCCAAACTCCTCAGCGGGGAACGTGTACCGTTGTCCGCAGGGGGCAGCTCTCCAAAAGCCGGGGGCTGCAGAGGGAGCAGGGAGAGTGGGCGGCACTTCTTCCTGCACCCGCTCATTCTCCACAGAGCATGGGAGACATTTCTGACTCATGCCATCAAAGCGTTAACAAAGCCACCCAGTTCCTGGGTCGGAGTTCAAGGCAGTTTTGCCATTTTAAACCAGCTGTGGATTCTGGAGCACTGGGTGAAATGGCATGTTATTAAAAGGTCCATGCGGTCTTATCCCAGAATCCTTTGGGTTGGACGGGCTCTCTAGTGGATCCTCTAGTGCACCCCGCTGCCTTTGTGGTTGAATGGATTTCACTGATCCCATCCCTGATAGAAGGATGTCTTGGTCCTGCTTTGAGCAGGGGGTGGGACTAGATGGCCTCCTGAGGTCCCTTCCAACCCTGATATTCTATGATTCTATGTCTTCCCAATTCCCTCACCTTCAACATCTCCACTGGTGAGGCCACACCTGCCATATGCAGCCTGCCGAATAACCCATCCCGTCTGAGAGTTATAACCTTTAACCTGACTGTTCCCATGCAGCCTATGCCTCCGTGGTCTGTCTTTGCTGACTGGTGAGCTGTGCTCTGGAGAGCGTCCTTTGCACAAGTGCCGTGCAATAGAGACGGATCTCCGTTGTCATGAATATAAGGGGACTCTCTCTAAGGGGGCTGCTGGACACAGATGGACCAGGAGGGTCTCTCTGGTTCCCTAGCTCACAGACTGTGCTGCCATTGTCACGGCGCAGCATCTCCCTTAGGCCTGGCCTGAGCGGTCCTGCCGGGGTCTGCTGCCGGCCCTGTGCGTGGGAAGTGTGCTGGGGGTGAACGCAGTTGTCGTTTGTTGTGCAGCGCCTGGTGTGCATGAACATGCCTCTGAACAGCGATGGCACCGTCACCTTCAACGCCACTCTCTTTGCTCTGGTGCGGACAGCCCTCAAGATCAAGATGGAAGGTGAGGGACACGCTCTGTCTGCTTTGGTGCCCTGCCCTGCCAGCATAGCGCTGGCTGGTGCATCTATAGAGACTGCCTCCAGAATGCTTCCCTAGCCCCACCCATGCAGGGGTCCCTCCCCAGCCATCAGCGTGAGATGTGAGTAATATCGGCTACCCTGGTGCATTTCATCTGGGCACCGAGGGCCAGATCCTTTGCTGCTGCAAATCAGCATGACTTGACTTCAAAGGAGAGATGCCTGTTTACACCTGCTGGGAACTTGGCCCCTTATAATTTAGCCTCACACCACCCATGTGAGGTAGGTGAGGATTGTGTAGGGATCCTTTCACCCATCCACAGAATGCTGCCTTCTTCTTTGAGGAGTGTCCCTGGCGGTGCTCCACCCCGAGCACCTTTGATTGGAGATGTTCACTAGCAGTGCCTGTTCGTCCCATGCATGCACTCCAGACATCCCCGGGCTCCGTACTGAGGGTATATAGAGCTGCCCAGGCAAATTGCCCTCGATTCCTTCTCAACTACCTGCTGGCCTGAGACAGAGCGTCAAGCTTGCCCGCTTCCGCTTTGCTCTAGCTTAGCCTCGAGTTCCTAGTTCAAGGGTTAGTTTAGTTTACTTGCTTCTCTCCTTTATTTTATAATTGTCCCTCTTCGGTTAATTTGGGGAGGTTCTGCTTAATAGCCCCTTTTTTCCTCCTCCCCTTCCTGAGGGGTTTGCCTTGGGGATTGTCATCAACCTGGTGTGCCGGGATTCCTGGGATGCAAGTGCTGCCTTTCCCGCTGGGAATCGACCCTGGTCAGCGACGGACATTCCCAGTGTATCCGCTGTCTGGGACACGCCTCCAATTCCAGCCAACTCCAAGATCTGCTCAGCTTTTCAAAGCAGATCTAAAAACTCCTGGAGATTCAGCTTAGGATCCTCATGATGGAGCTCGCCGTCCAACCAGCTCAGGGTCCAGGCCCAAGAGACCCCCTGTACAGCCGCAGCCAAGTGAGCACAGTGCCCCTCAATCGCCGTACCCCGCTCGCCTAGGACTTTGCGGGTAGGAAGACAGAGCGCACTGCTAAAATTCCCAAGCGGAGTTCTGGCTCTCCTCCTGGACGGCCCACTTCAAACGACCCTCGGTCACCGTCAAGATCGACCGTTTCAGAGACCTCCTGTCCCAGGTGTCAGGAATGAGGGCCTGCAGCTGAGCCTGGGACTAGCTAGTCTCCAGGCATAGCAAGCCCAGATGGGCTGCAGCAGGACCGCCTGACTGGCTGAAGGGAACCAGCCAGTGTGCTTGTAAGCCCAGCAGCAGCAGCAGGTCACTGGCTGCTCAATGCTTCGCCCACAGCTGCAGTCACCCCAGGCCTATCTTGCTCCAGCCTTGTTCTTCCCACTCCCAGCCCTGCCCCAGCCTGATTCCTGTTTAAACCCAGTTTACTCTGGCTCTGGACTCTGACTCCTTCTTCCTGACTCCGGTTCTTCCCCTTGGCTCCGGACTAAAGCTCTGATCCTTGGTTCTGGTTCCCAGTCCCTCCTCGCTCTGGCTCCAACTAGTAGGCCGGGCTGCCCCAGTCCTGACACCAGGAAGGGCACCGCTGAGGGTCCATCCTTCTCCAGTATCAGGAGCTCATTGAAGACCCCGAGCTCCTCAAAGACCCACAATACCAAGCATTCCTCAGTGCCAAAGTTGTCCGCCATATCGTCCAAGCATGACTGCTACAGAAACGACCCTAAACGCTCTGCCTCTAAAAAGTCTGTAGCATAAACAGACTTTTCAATACCACCTCCGGTGCCTAAACATGTGACCCTGACAGCAACATCGGTTCCTCAGAGCTCAGCATCTTCAGTATCAGCGCTATTGACTAGACAGATACCACCAGAACAATCCACATCCTCGGTGCTGACACTGGTCGCGTCAGAGCCCCATCCAGTCCAGGTTCACCCAGTACCACAGAAGTTTAGATTCTCCAAAGACTTGTTGGAGTCTGATGAGCCAGAATGGGTACCACATGGCTATCGGTAGTGAAATCTGCAGGGCCTCTGAGACCTTACTTTCCTCCGGTACCCCCGGGTTCTCCTGTACCACCTGTCCCAGATGGAGAACCATCCTCGCCTCCAATGTCTGCTCCTCCTCTGGACTGTGCTGAGGACTCCACTTCAGATTCTCAGTTATCTGTGCGGGGATCCCCTAGGTACCACCATAGCAGCATCTCTCCTGATACCTTTGTGACGGGCTGGACCCCCTGGGATGTCACCTGCTGTGCTGGGATTTCACTGAGTCAGACCATTCTGCCAGCCTGGGCCCCCCTTTACCTGGTCTTGCTGGGCTCGGCTCCCCCGTCTTTTCCGGCCCAGCACACAGGCAGGGCCACACCCACCTGCACAGAGAGACAGAGATCCGCTCTGGGAAGGCTCAGCTTAAGGAGCTTGCCACAGCACCCAGATGTCCACCCTCCCTTGGAGTACAAACCCGAAATTATATAAGATTCGCCTCTTCTCTCAGTGTGGAGGAGGGTGTGCACATCTTCCCCCGCCCAGTTAGAAATCACATCGACTGGGTTCTATTGTAAACCAGAAATAAATGTATTAACTAGAACGGGTGTATTTTAAGTAGTTAAGGAGGTAGCAGACAGAACAAAGCATATCTGCCCCAAGTGTTTTCTCCAAAGTCCTGGCAATAGTAGCTGTGCACAGGTGGGGAATAATCATCTTTCCTACCACGACAACTGGCTGTTCAAGGACCATTGTATGTCAAAGTCTTCTCTGCAATACAGAAGCCATCTGTAATGTCCACTTTGACTCCAGTTCAACAGATAAACTTCACAGGAGCATCTCTGAATGCCCTAACATCCAGAGCTTACCTTCCTTCCGACAGATTTCTGATACTGATGAGTCTTAGTGCCAAGATTCAAATAACCCCCTGACCACAGTAAGAAATTGCCTCCAACTGCTGGCTCATATGGCAGCTTGTACTTTCATAACACAACATGCCAGGTTACATCTTGCTGCTTCCAGGGTTGGCTCAGAATAGTCTATCACCCGAACGAACAAACAGTCTAGACAATCTGGTGTCTGGCCCTCATCACGTGCTACACTCGCTCAAGTGAAGGACCTGTCCAAAGTCCGTGCAGGAGTTCCTATCGCCCAGCCGCCTCCTACCACCGCCATAACTTTGGATGCCTCACTTGTGGGATGGGGAGTGCAGCTAATGGGACACACTGTCCAAGGGAAATGGTTGTCTCAAGAGTCTCTCCTGCACATCAACCTCCTAGAATTAGGAGCAGTCAGGAATGCCTGTATCCACTTCCCTCCCTTAAGCAAGGGCCAATCCATGAAGGTCATGACAGACAATGTAACCTGCATGTTCCACGTAAATCTCAGGGAGGGGCGAGATCCCCTTCTCTTTGTGCTGAAGCAATAAAGCTGTGGAATTGGTGTCAAGCCAGTCACATCCTCACAGCCGCTTACCTTCCGGGCATGCAGAGCACCATGGCCAATGATCTGAGCAGACATTTCTCCCACGATTACGAGTGGGAACTAGACCCTCAGATCCTCAAACAGAGATTCCTGACCTGGGGTTTACAGAAGCAGATATCTTTGCAATTACCACCAACAGAAAGTGCAAGAAATTCTGCTTGAGAGGAGGACTGGGCCATCAGTCATTGGGAGACACCTTTCTCATTCCTTGGGCCTACTCCATACATCTCTGACACCGTTGATTCAGAGGGTGTTGAACAAGATCAAACGAGACAAAGCCAGAGTCAGTCTAGTTGCACCAGCTGAGCTGAGGCAGGTCTGGTATCCTTCCGTGACTCACTTCACTTCCTGTCCAGCATTGCAGCTTCCAGCCATGTCCTATGTGCTGTCCCAGGACTCCAGTCGGACTCTCCATCCCAACCTGGCCATCTGCTGACTCCAAGCTTGGTTCCTCAGTGGTTTTTGGGGATAGAGGTTTCCCGTTCGACAGAGATCCAACAGGTCCTATTAGAAACATCAGAAAGATCTCTACTAGAAATACCTTCAAAAATGGACCTTGTTCCTTCTTCCCTCTCCCCTGTTTTTGGTTATCTATTGGATTTAAAGTATTCAGCTCTTTCTGTGAGTTCCGTCAGAATTCATTCATCAGCTACGACAGCCTTCCGTTCCCCTGTGCAGGGATTCATTCAGGCTTTGCTCATCCCACGACAGCAAAATTCATCAAGGAATTGGTTAACCTTTTCCCGCAGAGCCTGCTCCCGTATGGGATTTGAACTGTCTCATGAAATCTCCCTTTGATCTGCTCACTAAGTGCTCTCTTGTGCACTTACCTACGAAAGTGGCATTCTTAGAGGCAGCATTGGGGAATTAGGAACATTGGGGAATTAGCACTGGGGAATTAGGAGCATTGATGGCTGATTTCCCTCCCCCCTTCCCTGTTTTCTTCAAGGATAAGGTTTTGTTAGGCCTACATCCCAAGTTCATACCTAAAATATCTTCTGATTCGCTCATTAACCAAGTTATCCACCTTCCTGTGTTTTCCCCAGAACCATGCCAGACTAGAGAGGAAGCTGCCCTCCACAGCTTGGATGTTAGAGGGGCGTTAGCTTCTATTTGGACAGAACCAAGCCATTTAGACAGTCTCCCAGACTGTTCATCTCAGTTGTGGACAGATCCAAAGGATCCACAGTCTCCCCCCCAGCGACTTTCAAAGTGGGTTTCCAGTTACATTCGTGCTCGTTACCAGGCTGCTAACGGTCAGCCCCCTTCGAGAAGAATAGCCCATTCTCCAGCCTGCCTCCATGGCACTCTTAAAAATGCAGCCATTGCTGAAATTTGCAGAGTGACAACCGAGGCCTCGGTGCACACTTTTCCCAAACGCTGCGCCCTGGTACACGCCTCTAGGTCAGAGGCAGCTCCACAGTTCCCTCCTCCTTCAGGGGCTACTGCAGGAGCCGGACATGCGACATGAACCGCAATTCCATCTATTTCAAATGGCAGAGGGAAATTTGGGAGGTGGGATTGAGATGGAAGTAGGGTTGCCAACTGTCTAATCCCACAAACCCAAACATCCTTGCCCCGCCTCTTCCTGAGGCCCCACCCCTTCTTTGAGGTGCCCCCCTCTCACTCCATCCCCCCTTCCTCCATTGCTCGCTCTCTTCCACCCTCACTCACTTTCACTGGGCTGGGGCAGGGGGTTGGAGTGTGAGAGGTGGTGCAGGCTTTGGGCTGGGGCTGAGGGGTTCAGAGTGTGGAAGGGGGCTGCGGGCTGAGCCTGGGGCAGGAGGTTGGGGTGCAGAAGGGGGTGCGGGCTCTGGAAGGGAGTTTGGGTTTGGGAGGGGGCCCAGGGCTGGGGCAGGGGGTTGGGATGCAGGCTCCAGCCGGGCGGCACTTACCTCAGGCCACTCCCGGAAATACCCGGCATGTCCGGCTCCTAGACTGCTCCGCGTGCTGCCCCTGCCTGCAGGCACCTCCCCCGCAGCTCCCATTGGCTGCAATTCCCAGCCAATGGGAGCTGCAGAGTCGGCACTCAGGGTGGGGGGAAGCGTGTAGAGACCCTCCCTGGCTGCCTCTCTGCCTAGAAGCTAGAGGGACTTGCCAGCTGCCTTTGGGAGCGGCGCAGAGCCAGGGCAGGTAGGGAGCCTGCCTTAGCCCCGCTGCGCTGTCAGACTTTTAGTAGCCTAAAATCTCCCGGATTGGCGTCAGTAGCCTCTGGGAGATCGAGCCCGATTCCAGGAGACTCCCGGCCAATCCGGGAGGGTTGGCAACCCTAGATGGAAACTGGGAAGGCCGTCAGGGTCAGCACTTGTAAAAAGGTGCCCTTGCATTTTTAATGGCCATAAATGGCCAAGGCAACAGTTTCGTATCTCAAAAACCAATAGCCTCATCCACATGGTGACCCCTAACAGCCCTCTCTTAGGGCACTGACTACTTCCCATGTTACCAAAGCTGTTTCCTGTAGCATCCAGGTGTGCCGGCAAAGTCTCCCATCCCATCCACAGCCAGGCCAGATTGTTTAGCATGTTAAAGCCCAAGCTCACAGCCCAAGATAGCCGTCATAGCATGCTGAGTGAGCCCCCTCCCTAGGCTCACCCCTCCCATTTTTCTAGGCTTGTCCAAGTTTCAACAAGGCCAGGGCGTGTCATCCCATCCTGCCGCCTCCCACTCTTCAGGCACCATGCCAGGACAGAGCCACAAAGTCAGGATGACAAGAGACAGTGGTTTTTTTCCCGAATTAACCTAACACAAGTGGTGGGAACACAGACGCAGCTGCGAGGGGAACCCCGAGTGCTCTAGAAAACACGAATGGGCCTTCACGCGAGTGACCGCTGACAGGATGGATTTCACCCACTGCATCTTGGCTTTCCCTTTAGCCATTGGCTGTGTGCGGTGTTCCCTCGGGGCGGAACGAACGGATCGGTGGTTTGTTTCCCCACAGGTAACTTTGAGCAGGCCAACGAGGAGCTGAGGGCCATTATCAAGAAGATCTGGAAGAGAACTAGCATGAAACTCCTGGACCAGGTCATTCCACCAATTGGAGGTGCGTCTTTGCCATGCTCCCTGGCTTATTTCTCCCCGGCACCCTCTGCCTGCCCCCTCTGCTGCCCCACACCGCTCGGATGGGGGCTGGGTATAACCACTGGGCAGTGTTAATGGCCTCACTTGGCTTTCTCCCCTCCAGAGGATGAGGTGACCGTGGGCAAGTTCTACGCGACCTTCCTCATCCAGGAGCACTTTAGGAAGTTCATGAAGCGCCAGGAGGAGTATTATGGGTATCGGCCCAAAAAGAACGCCATTGCTATCCAGGTCAGTGCAAACAGGTCTGGGGATCCCAGCCGCTCCTCTTGCCTGGATAAAGCAACCAGCTTGTCCCTCCTGCACAAGGGCAGGGCAGGGCTCAGGGGGCAGAATTGCCTAGTGAATAGAGACCCGGGCTCGGCCACCAGCGCCGCTGGGCAAGTCATTTCCCCTCTCTGTGCCTCAGTTCCCCCAGCTGTAAAATTGGGATAGGGACACTGACCTCTGTGGTAAAGCACATTGGGATCTCCTCGTGAAAAGTGCTTTACAAGAGCTAGGTGGTGGTGTTGTTATATGCTGGGCAAGGTGGGAAGCAGGCCTAAGTATTTGAAGGTGTCGGTACGAGGCTGGCAGAGGAATTCTCGAGGACGGCCGGAGAGGAAGCACTGGGACGGAGCTGAACAAAGGGAAATGGAGACAGGGGAACAGTCTGTGGGTGGAAGCTCTGTCCCTTAGAACACTGGAAATGGGACTGCACAAAGGGTACGTTGCATGGGCGAGCCCATGGATGACCCCAAACAGGTCTCAGTGTGTAAGTGAGGGGACCTCATGTTAAGAGGAACAGTCCTGAAATGGAGGAGACTGGCCCGGCCTAAGGGAGCGCTTGGAGGCTGCCTCCTCGGGGCCTGGCAATTGGTCTCTGCTGCACACAGCTTGGACTGGGGCCTTGACTGAGCTCTGGGCTTTCAAGGGCTTCCCATGATGGAATCTCAGAGCTGGTGCCCTCACACCACCCTTCCTGCAGCCCTGCTCCTTCCACGAGAGCCCAGGCTCTGTCTCTACTGAGGCAGCGCGCTCTAGAGGAGTAAGCACAGTGGTGAGCAGCAGGACTCCTGGGTTCTTTCCCCGCTCTGCCTCTGACTCGTGTAGCCATGGGCAAGTCACTTCCCTCCTGTCTGCCTTGGTTTCTCCACCCATGAAATGGGGACAAAGAGGCAGGGACAAGGGGAAGGTCTGAGGCTCGTGTCGCTCCCTGCCCCCCCCCCCTCTGGCTGATGGAACGAACAGCCCCACGCAAGAGTTTCAAACTGGAGTCCAGTCTCCCTGCATCAGAGGTCCTGGGGGGCATGTCCCGAGCACAGAGGACTCCTCCCCTGGGGAGATGGGGGCATTTCTCTTGTCCAAACTGGAATGCAGCCATGTCTCGAGGTTCCCATGGCCTCCCTGCGGGGTGTAGGATCACCTGTCCCTGGGTATCAAATCCAGTTCCAACATGTGCAAGGTGAGATGTGCCAGCCCCCATGGCCCTGCGAGAGGGGCAGAGATGCCGCTGCCCTAGAGAGACACCCCCCACCTCACGGCTCAGCCCGTTTACCCTCCTCCAGCCCCCGTTCCTCCACACCCAGTGCACAGAGCTAGCGCCATGGGAGAGGCTGCTGAACCAGAGGCATCAGAGCGCCCCCTTTGGGAAGTAGGCAGGGCAGCCTGGGCTCGGTGAAGGCAGTTGCGGGGCCAGGGCTGAGGGTTCGGGGAAGGAAGCTGGAGCTGCCAGGCCACCGGGCTTTGCTGAGCCTCCTTCTCCCCTTGCCCGGTGAAGAAAAGCTCGCCCTGCCACCAGCAGCCCCGTGAGCGACCTCCCCATCTCTGTCCATCCCACTAGGCCGGTCTGAGAAGCATCGAAGAGGAAGCCGCGCCCGAGATACACCGAGCGATCTCTGGGGACCTGACCGCCGAGGAGGAGCTGGAGAGGGCCATGATGGAGGCAGCGATTGAGGAAGGGATATATAGGGTGAGCACAGTGGGAGGTACCACCCTCTAACCCCACACATACCAGCCCCACCTTCTGTGTCCCATGCGGAGCCTAGCACACTGAGCGGTGACTGCTGCAGACAGGATAGGGGCCAGCCAGCAGGTGCCAGGGGTGAGTGATGATGCCCGAGATCATAGTCATATTGTCATGGCCGCTTGGTGCCAAATGCTTGGGCAGGACCCAGCTCTGTGTGAGCACGTGAGTTGGCTGGGGGGCACAAAGCCACTAGCACGGGAGATGCCACAGTCCGTGGAGATGGGCCTGATCACAGAGGAGAGTGTCAGTCACAGGAAACCACGTCACCGACTGGCTAAGTGGGTCCTGGGTCACCGTCTCCTCTGTTCCTAGGCGTTAGGGTGGGCAAAGTTTTTGGCCCGAGGGTATAGAATTGTATGGCAGGCCCTGAATGCTCACGAAATTGGGGTTGGGGTGCGGGACGAGGTGAGGGCTCTGGCTGGGGGTGCGGGCTCTGGGGTGGGGCCAGAAATGAGGAGTTCAGGGTGTGGGAGGGGGCTCCGGGCTGGGTCGGGGGGATAGGGTGCAGGGGGCGTTGAGAGCTCCGGCTGGGGGGTGCGGGCTCTGGGGTGGGGCTGGGAATGAGGGGTTTGGGGTATAGGAGGGTGCTCTGGGCTGGGACCGAGGGGTTCGGAGCGTGGAAGGGGTATCAGGGCTGGGGCAGAGGGTTGGGGCATGGAGGGGGGGCTTAGGGGTGCAGGCTCCAGGCGGCACTTACCTCAAGCGGCTCCCAGAAGCAGCGGCATGTCCCCCCTCTGGCTCCTATGTGGAGGCACGACCAGCCCTATCCGCAGGCACTGCCCCTGCAGCTCCCATTGGCCGTGGTTCCCGACCAATGGGAGCTGCGGGGGCAGTGCTTGGTGCAGAAGCAGTGTGCAGAGCAGAGTCCCCTGGCTGCCCCTACGCATAGGAGCGGGGACATGCTGCTGCTTCCAGGAGCCGCGTGGAGCGGCCCCTGACCCTGCTCCCTGGCTGGAGCGGGGCAAGCCCCAGACCCCGCTACCCAGCGGGAACTTGAGGGCTGGATTAAAGCGGCTGGTGGGCCAGATCCGGCCTGCAGGCCATAGTCTGCCCACCCCTGTGTTAGGTGGAGCTGTGGGCTAGTGACCTGAGCTCAGGGGTCTCTGGGTTCTAATCCCAGCACTGGTGTTATCTCCCTGGCTGTCCCTTCCCCTCCCCTGTACAATGGGGATAATGGTACTGACCACCCCGGACTGCAGAGCGGGATATTAACCAGTTAACGTGATGGAAGAGTGCTCGTTCCTGGGATGGACTGGCTAGTGTGTATTGGCACCTCTGCCAGGTGCACAACTATGTGCACAGACCGAACACTGCTGACAGAGATTCCCTCTGCACTCACTATGCTGGGAGCTTCCAATTGGCTGTGGTGTAATGATAACCATGGCAACCCAGGTTTCCAGCAGTCTGTGACAGGGTCCTGCCCAGTCTCACTCCTCAGGGAATCCCTCACATTCAGAGCTGCCTGTGAGTATGGGAGGGTTTATCTGGTAGGAGAGGCAGTGCTGCCTAGTGGATGGGCTGGGACTGGGCTGCAACTCAGGAGACCTGGGTTCTATTCCCAGCTCTGCCATGGACCTACTGGGTAACCTAAGGCAACTCACTACCCTGCTCTGTGCCTCAGTTTCCCCCACTGTGAAGTGAGGAGCTGACCCCCCTATTTATAAAGTGCTTTGAGAACAGCTCTATAAGAACTGGGACTGTTATTACTGCTGCCCTGCTGTGCATGATCTTAAATTCAGCCACCATGACTGGCCTTTGCTGGCTGACCATGGGTCCAAACCCATCCGGACCGTCGGGCAGCATGTGCCTCGGGCAGCATGTGCCACAGGCAGGGAAGCCTCGAGAAGCACCACTGTCAAGGCCCGCTCTGACCTCTCCCCTCTTGGTTCCAGAGGACGGGTGGCTTGTTCGGTCATGTTGACTCCTTCATGGAGCGGAACAGCCCCCTACAGCCCCACGTGACCAGCCAGAGACCCCTGCAGTTCACCGAAGTGGGGAATGAAGACTTGGACTCCCCTGTCTTCCTCGATGACTTCCCCCCGGACAGGAACACCAACACCAACAACAGCAACACAGCCACACGGTAATGCTCGGCGGTCGGAGACAGCCCCCCAGGGCGCGTGGCGGTGGGGGCCACAAGGCAATGTGCTGTCTGTATAAACGGCGCAGTCTCCACAAGAGAGGAACCCGACTGCGCGGCTGCTGTGATTTGGGGAGCAGGGGGAAGCTCGGCGCTCGGGGACTGTGAGCCCGGGTGCAGCCGTGGGTGCTTGTGCGTACGTGCACATGTGAGTGTGCACCCGTGCATATGTTTACTCTTGTGTGGGTCGGGCCAGACACTGGCCACCTTACTCCCCTTTAACCATGGGAGGGTGCAGTTTCTGCCTTCAGGTCTCAGGCAAAAACAGATGCCTGCATTGCCCAGGTCTCATTTACAGAGCATGGCACACGCCTCCCCATGGCCAGGCAGCTTCACCCCTTCACCAGTGGTTCTCAACCTATTTATCATTGTGGCCCACAAAGTGTTACCTGGGCCACAGGCTAAGAACCACAGGGCCCCCCACAAACCCCTATGCTCAGTGCCCTCCGCCCACAGACCCCTCCACAGAGTGGGGGCAGAAGCGGAGAATTGGGTGTGGGGCAGGACGCTGCTGTGTGGGGACCCCTAACCCCGACCCCGACTGTGTGGGGCTGAGGGGCAGCCAGGACCCTGACTCCAGACCCTGCCAGGACCCCACTGTACAGGGCCCAGCAGCAGCCATCTGCCTGGACCCTGCCACGTGGTAGCTAGTTGCCTGGTCCCAGGGCCCGCCTTGCGGCCTCTATCACACAGCTGAGTGGGCCGCAGCTGTGTACTAATTGGGCCGCATGCGGCCCGCGGGCCTAGGGTGACCAGACAGCAAGTGTGAAAAATCAGAACGGGGGGTGGGGGGTAATAGGAGCCTATATAAGAAAGAGACCCAAAAATCGGGACTGTCCCTATAAAATCGGGACATCTGGTCACCCTACGCGGGCCACGGGTTGAGAACCGCTGTTCTACACTGTGCTTCCCATAGGGCACACGCGGGGTTAAGGAGAATACAGCGCCTCTTAAAAAAAGTGGGAGCACAGTCCGGGCCGGCTCCAGGGTTTTGGCCGCCCCAAGCAGCCAAACAAACAAACAAACAAAAAGCCGTGATCGCGATCGCAATCTGCGGTGGCAATTCGGCGGGAGGTCCTTCGCTCCGAGCAGGAGTGAGGGACCGTCCGCCGAATTGCCGCCGAACAGCTGGATGTGCTGCCCCTCTCCGAAGTGGCCGCCCCAAGCACCTGCTTGGTAAGCTGGTGCCTGGAGCCGGCCCTGAGCACAGTGCTTTTGAAAGCGACTATCCCAGTACAGCCGGCGCAGATCCTGTTTACACCAGCAGATGTCAGACTAATCCCAGCAACAGGCACGGTGCAGCTGCCAGGCTGTTTTACCCCAGAGGAAGATCTGGCCCCAGATTATTGGTAGGGCACTTTAGAGTCTCGAACAGAGCAGAGACCGATTTAGAGCAGGAGTGAGCAGAGCCGCTCTGACACCGGGGGCGGCTCGGCCCCACTGCGAATCGGGCCGTGTGATTTCAGGCGCCCAGGCTAAAGCTCTGGTCACAGACTAGTTCTGTGCGCAGATGTACAGCTTTTGTGAAGCCCCGGACAGCTGTAGGTGCAATGAATGGCGCCTGCTGGCAGACTGCCCCTCCAAGGCTGCCCCTGTGACTGTTATCCATATGGACGCTGCAAGGACCTTGGGCTGGCCCCAGGGCTGGCATAAGCAGCGTGACTCCTTTGGCCTGAGCCCAGTTGTGCCCATCTGCATGTGGCTTTCGGTTTCCCAAACACTTCTTCGCTCCCTCTGGCCCTGGCGGTGATGTTATGTAGTTAGACAGCTCCAGAGAGTGCAGAAAAGACACAGCCACCGCCCAGAGCGCTTGTAATTGAAGCATGACATGCCCCTGGCGGGGTCATCAGCAGGGGTTGGTTGAGGAGGCGAACCTCGGATCTGAACGCATCAGCTGCTACTGCTTTAAGGCCTGTAGCTCAGCAGCAGCAGACCCAGGAATATCTTCGCATGGTCCAGCCAGCAGGGGGCGATAGACTGCAGCGTTGTGCTAGCCCGGGGCCTGGACACCTGGACAAAACAACACAGGAGGGACAGAAACAGGAGGGCGGCGAAATGGGGGGACAAGGGTTACCCCTCAAACGTAACTAGGTTGCCCTCATGAGTCCTTCCGCTATCCGTCCTGGTGGGTGCTCCACTGTAGGATGTGTGCGCCCTGGACTGGAGCCTGCGACGTCGTGCTGGTGGGCCTGCGCCGGCTCCGAGAGACGGGATACAGGGAGGCGAGAGTCCACCGCCACTCAGTTCCTTCTCAGCCGCCTGTGGCTCGAGACCGAGTTTTCGGCGGGTAGCTGTGTTCTGCTTCCCGCCTTTCTCTCACCTCGGGAAAGACTTTTCTCGCATATTTTCGTTTCTCATTTGTTTTCCTGCCCTATATTTTATTTTCATTTGTATTTCATCTGGCACGTTTCTGTGCTCTGGGAGAGGGGGTTCCCCATCTACTCCTGCACCTTTCTTTGTGCCGATCAATCTGTTGTGCCTAACACCCCAGGGGCTAAGCCCTGCCAGACTTGCCACAGGTCTTTTCCCCGCAGTGACAGACATTGGAGTTGCCTACAGTGTTTGGGGAACTCCCCCATCCCCTCAAAGTGTGTGATCTGTCTGGGGTTTGGGGGCAGGCCCCAAAATGACAGGGAGACGAGACTAGCAGTCCTGTTAATGGGACATGCTCTAGCTCTGGAGAGGTCCGCTTCCCCCCAGGCATTAGCACTGGCTTCTTCAGGCATCAGCCCAGCCTCAGCTGGGACCACGGAGACAAAGCCTTTGAAGAGGAGAAAGCACTCCTTCCCATCCAGAGACAGGGAGAAAAGGGGTAGGTCACCTCATAAGACCCACTCTCAGGAGCCCTCGTGTCCATTAAGGGTTATCGTAGAGGCTCCGACTGAGTCCGGTATCGAGGTGTCAGTACCATGTACCTGATTCTCCGTGGCACCATGATCCGCATGGGGCTACCGCACATCCCTTGGCATCGGCTTCTGACCCCAGCTCTGAAGTGATACAGGACCCTGCATCCACCTCAGTACTGCAGCAGTCTCCATCTCAAGGTCCACATTTTCACCTCTGGCTGTCAGCGCCCTCCAGCCCCTTCCAGGTTTCAGTTATCTGAAGATCTCATCATTTCGGATAAGCCTGACGCCATTGCTATGGGATCCGTCAGAGCCTCCTCACCGGTACAGCCCAGGCACCTGCAGGCCAAAACCCACCCAAGCCTCCAGCAGTCAGCATCCGCCACATTACCTGAGCCATCACGTAGCCTCTCAGGTCTCGGTACTGGAATCCTTCCTGGTGCCATACCATCCGGCTGCCAAGGGTCCCTGTACCAAGGAGGACCCTAGAGAACCCGCCAGGCCTCATAGACCCAGAGACGATAACTGTCATTGGGGACACTCTCCCTGTTCCTCCCCCCCATCAATGGGAGTCCTGGGGGCCATTTTGGTGACCAGTTCCACAGGATGCCAAGAAGAGATTACAGGCATCCACTGGTCCCATGCCATCCATGGCAAGCAGCTGTCCCTCTCCCGGTACCATGCACGTCTTCGGTACCGGACAATACACAGCAGGAGTCAGAGCCTCCACCTGAGGAGGTCTCACCTCCTTCAGCTGAATCCTCTTCATCTGTGGCCGAGGCGGTAACGCCACCCCAGCCCTCCTCTGCCGATGAGTTCGAAACCTTCCAGGAGCTCATGAAGAGGCTGGCAGACTCTCTCCAAATCCCGCTAGAGGAAGTCCAGGAGTCATAACATTCTTTGGTGAATATCAATCCCCAAGGAAAGATTGCTCCGCCCATTAATGAGGCATTGCTATCCCCAGCACAATTCCACCCACCTGAGAGATCTGATAAGTACTACATCCCACCAGAGGGGAGGGAGCACTTCTTTTCCCACCCTCGCACTAATTCCTTAGCAGCCAATGAAAGGAGCCGTCAGACTCGATCTAGACCCTCTCCAGTAGACAATGAATCCAAGAGACTGGACGTATGGGGCAGAAAGAGCAACTCACCAGCTGCTCTTCAATTCCGTAGTGGCAATTTCAGGCCTGGGTGGTGAAATGGGACTTTACCACATACTCAGAACGTACACACTTCATTGAACATCTGCCACAAGACCAAAGAGACCGGTTTCAGTCCAGTGTTGTGGAGGTCCCATCCTTCCTCCTCCTGGGGCCAATCAAGCTGGTTCCAACAGCGTCCATCAGGAAAGGATTCTATTCCAACTACTTCCTAGTTCCCGCGAGAGACGGAGGCGGGAGGCCGATTCTTGACCTCAGAAACTTGAGCAACTAAGTTCTAGCACAACAGTTCAGCATGGTGACACTCGCTCCCATTTTCCCATTGTTGGATCCAGGACACGGGCTCGTCGCCCACAACCTACAGGACGCCCATCACCACAAGTGTTTGCTTTGCTTTGTAATTGGACCACGATCAACATCAAGTTCTCCCCTCCGGACTCTCCACGGTGCCGAGAGTGTTTACGAAGTTCCTCTTGGCAGTAGTAGCTGGTCTCTGTCAATGGGGGATCTTGGTATTCCCATATTTGGACACCTGGTTGATCAGGGGTTGATCACTCCAAGAGGTCCAACCAGCCATGGCCAAGGCGTTAACTAGGACTTCGCATCAATCACAAAAAATTGATACTAACTCCAGTGTAAAGGATAAACTGCATAGGAGCCACTCGAGCCCACAACAGCAAGAGCCTATCTATTCTGGGAGACATCTTCCACCCTACCTGGCCTAATCTCGGTGCTACAGTTCAGCCCATAAACAATCATGAGGGCTCGTCTTCCACTCTTGGGACATACATCCTCCTGCACGTTCATGACTTCCTATGTGAGACTCCATCTCAGATGTCTCCAGGATGTGGTTTAGAACAGTAAATATCCCAGACAGACACCACCTGTCCAAAGGGGTCACGGTGCCTCAGAAGGTGTTGGATTCCCTTACATGACAGAAAGACCCACAGAGGGTCGGTGTGGGAACCCCATTCTTGCATCGCACACCATCAAAGATCCTCATGACAGATACATCCTCTCTGAACCCCAGGGCCTGGCTCCCGAATGGCTCTCTCGACCATGGAGTTAACTCATTTGGCTGCAGTTCAGTCAGTTCGTTTGGCAGATAGCCCAGTACCGGCAAGACTTATCTCCGGAATGGAAACACTTTCACTCTTGATGCTCTCTTTCTTCTTCCCAAGCCCTTGAAGTTTCCCTTTCCAAAATACTTGACCGCCAGCTGGAATTAAAGATACAGGATCTCTCCGTGAGCTTTGTTAGAGTGCAGGTGGCTGCTCTCACAGTTTTCCAGTCACCCATCCAGGGCTTCTCGGTTTTTGCCCACCCTGTCACAGCCAGATTCCTCCAGGCTCTATACAACTGGTTTCCTCCTGTTTGGGACCCAGTGGGACCTCAACCTGCTTCTTAATGCTCCAAGGAAAGTCTCCTTTGAACCAACAACCACCTGCTCTCTCCTCCATATCGCCTTCAAAATTTCATTCCTGGGCACCATTACTTCAGCAAGACGAATTGGAGAGTGGGGGGCACTCCTGGCTGACACACCATATCCCACCCTTTCATAGGGACAAGGTTCTACTGTGTCCCCAGCCCTATTTTCTTCCTAAGGTCTCCTTGGAAGATCACATTAACCAGGAGATTCGCCTGCCAGTGTTCTACCCACATCCTCAGGCCTCCAGAGAGGTCTCAAGCCTTCATTCGCTGGATGTTCGACGGGCCCTTGCCTTCTCTGTGGACAGGACTAGGTCCTTGAGGGCCTCTCCCTGGCTACTTGT